TGCAGGCAGGGAGTCTCCTTAAGTTAGTTTCCTCTGAACGGAATATTTTAATCCTTCCAAAGCATTATTTACTTTAAATAAAAAGAAATTTTTATATAACATATTTTCCTATGATTAATCATTACTATTAACTAACTTTTGCTTTATTAATTAATTTAAATTTTAACTTTCGTACATAGGAAACCACTCCAAGATTTGATCCTTTAAAGAATAATGGAAATAAAATTCTAAACCTTAAAAAATGAAAACTGACAAATCTCTTTCTATCTAAAAGGAAAGGGGCACCCCAGTTTATCCCTCCATTATAGTAAACATCAGAGATATTTTCAGGAAAGATAGCATATTATAATACATTAGGGGTTTGCAATTAAGACTTTAAATGTAAGTGTTAGAAAGTGTTAGAAATTATAAAAAAATTATTCGATTGAATATGAATTTGAAAGACTTTTACATAAGCTTTGCAGTGTTTTCTTCATATAAATTAAAATAAAAATTCAAATGTTTTTTCCTCACAGTAATTAAAATAGGAATTTATTTGCCTTAAGAATAGTATAGCTTTTTCAATGTAAAAGTTCTCTAGGGACATGGAGATACAAAAACTAACCAAAAATTGGAAAATGCACCTGAAAACTTAAATATATCGATTTCATATCTTGAGGCTGTCTTGCCTAATAGAACAAAAATTCTGTTGGTTCCACAATTTTCCTGCATGACTCACATGGTATCTGTCAACTAACTTACATTTTAAAACCCCAAGTGCTAATGGAAACTAGAATCCAAGAGCTACAATCTTCCATTGATAAAGGAATCCAAGGACAGAAACACGAATATTCCAATCAGTTCATAGAAGGAGCCTGCTTGTCTACAGTTCAGAAGGAAAATCCACGTTCAGAAAGTAACCATATTCCCAAACTTGGGGTCTAGACTCTCCCAGTTGAGACAGAACCCCTAGAGTGGGTCAGTCCCTGGGAAGGAGGGAGGGGACACCTGAGCAGCCACAGGAATGAACTCTGGGAGCTCCTCACACCCTCCCCTCACCTGTGAGCATGGAAGCACGGCCTCCCCCAGGCTTCCCTTCTCACAAGTGAGGACACGCTCAGCCTGATTCAGTTTAAGGTTCTGACCCAAATGAACCCCCAGATTCATAAACCCTCCATCCACAGGGCAGAACTCCTGATCTTCACAGACTTTCTCAATGTGCACAAATTACGCTCTCAGTGCACCCATATCATGGTTACAACACTCAAATACAACGTTTAAAACGTCTAGGTCTAAGGAACCACACTTACAGCCTCAGAGAGGGCATCACTCCCCACCCCCATGAGCACGTGCACCCCCAGCTTTCCAGGGCTCTGCAGCTCCTCTCAGTATAGAGGCTCCTTCCACGGGGGGTGTGAGCAGTAGGACACCTGCAGGGGGAGGCTCCCCAGGAAGAACAACTGGGCCTTCAAGTCCTTCCCTTTGCAGGCCCAAGGGGGCCTTAGCTTGGAGACAGTGACCTCAGGCTCTGCTTCCCACTGGAGGTGCTCTGGAACACCAGTGATATTTTAGATACACAAACCCAGTGTTTAAACAATCCAGCAAAATCACTCAAACACAGTGTTTATCTGTTAAGGAGAGAAGAAAATTATAAGTCACTTTTACTAGCTCAACCAGAAAACCCCAAATATCTATCACTTTCAGAAAAAAAGATGAGAGTGAATTATTATTTCCAGGGCAAGTTTGTTTTCTAAATAATTAATCATACTTGAACTCTTCTCATCTGCAAATCTAACCCCTCGACTTTCACATGAAACCACTCAAAAGCAGAGAAGAGTCCTCAGGAACTTACTACACATACTCGGGAAGAAAAATGTAAGAGAAAAATTCTTAAATGGAAAGTAATACTGGAATATTTCATTTTTTCTAACATTTACCACTCTTTCCTCCTTGGAAATATTTTATAATGTCTTCCAAGTTCTATTAATTAAATACATTTTAATTCCCATTGAAAAATGGAGACGTAAGTAAATGAATACATCTTTTCAGGGTGGTCTACCCAGGGAGGGGCAGTGCTACCAGGACAGAACACTCTGGAAAGATCCTGACGGGAGCGGCACAAGGATTTCATACACTGTATTCCAGGTGGTTATTCTCGGCTTTCCTCTCATGTAAAATAGCCACAGACACAAAATTAATCTTTAATAAAAGCCATGCAGGGCTCGGTGGAAAAGGAATAAACAATTACAATATTGGGTCTGACCCAATGATACTGTGAAATGAAATGACGATGATGCCGTGAATCAGAGAGGGGGAGTGGGTGTTTGGGAATGCGGGGAGGGATCTGGAAATTCAGGAACTTACTGCCAGCCCTGGAAGGACTAGGCTGGGGGAACAGGGTGGTGGATGTGAGACCCTGCTTCCCAAACATGCGGAAAACTCAGGAGAACACGAGTCCCCCTGAGGAGAAAGGAGGGACTGGGGACCCCACAGCCCACAGCTCCTCCCACGCAGGAGCCCCGGAGACCGAGTCACGACTGTCCCCGATGACCCTCCCCGTGGTCACCGCACCATCTGGGGACACGCGGGGCTGCGGGCGCAGCGCTGCCCAGAGAGGCTCCGGGGCCGCAGTCGCCGCGCGCAGTGACCACAGGACGCCCGGGGTCCCGGCTGCCGGCCCGGCCCCCACGCTGCGGCCGGAGGGGACTGAGGTCCGAGCGGCGCCCCCGCGGACTCGGGCCCGCAGACTCGGAGGCGACCGCGGGGAGGCCGGTCCCGCCACGGCCACTTCCAACCAGCGCTCCTCCCCGTCTGCTCACCCGGGGCCGCACACTCACCATTTCTAGGTCTCCCGGGTCCCCCTGAGTCCCTCCTATGTCGCCCACGGCCAGTGCAGATCACAGCGTGACAAACGCTGAGGTAGAGCCACCAGGGACCGTTAACGGCACACAACACACGAACCAGAGCGACCCCGGAGGAAAACGGGCCGTCCACGCAGGCGTAGTTCTTCGCCCCACCCACCTGCCCCAGCGGCGCCCCTGATTGGACAGTTTTCAAAGCGGTGCTCCCTCAACCCTGAGTGACAGCAGTTGAGGAGGACGCGGGGTTCAGCCAAACCAGCTTCCGCGATCCTGGCGGAACCTGTCCCCGCCTAGATATTTGTATTTAAACAGAACTTTTTCCAGGCCTGCGGCTGCCACTGTTGTTCTCCTCCACCTCTTTAAGAACGCGTGGTAACACGTGTGCATCGGGAATTCCTCATTCAGTTTCAAGAAGGAGTAAGTACAGACTCTTGTCTGAGTGCCCGGGCCAGGACAGACTGGAAAAGAGGGTGTGTCCTCTAGGGGTCCAGGGCTTGGGGTAAGGCTGCGACGCCACTCATAGAACCCTGACCCTTATTTAGAAATGCAGACACTTAAATGAGCCTTCATCATCTGTGATAGTCTGGTTCCTTTTTGATCTTTAATCCAGCGTTCAGCCTTCCACCCATCCCTGCCGCACCCCATTCATTTGGTTCTGAAGATAAAGAATCTCGGGGCACTTGACTCTGCTGGGAAATTTGAACCCCACAGACCTAAGTGGGCGCAGTGACTCTTCTCAGACCAACTGCAAGCTCAATTGTACGTTTTACACTGAAAGGAAATTTATTTTATATCAGTTTTTGCCTGTGTGCCTAGAAATGTAAACCACTATCGTATCCCTAAGATAATTGAATTCTTTTTTCATGGATATAAGATAAACAATAAATCATTGTGTAAATTTGAGGTGCACTTGGAAATTATTCCCCCTCCAGCTTCACTGAGGTATAATTGACTAATAAAATTGATTTAAAAATTACAACATGATGATTTGTTATATATATACTGTATTGTGTAATTGCAATTTATTAAGAGTGGATCTTAAACACTCTTACCACACACAAACACACACATGCACACACACACAGACATGATAACATTGTGAGGTGATGGATGTGTTGATTAACCTGGAAACATATGCCTAAGAGCCTGAATTGCAAAACTCTTAAGGTATATCTTTCTTTGTTTGAACAGCTTTATTGCAATGTAATTGACATACTATACAGTGCACCTTGTTAAAGTACGTTTTAATGGTTTTCAGTATATATGTAGAAATGTGAAATCATCACCACAGTCAATTTTTGAACATTTTCATCACCTCAAAAAGAAACTCCTTTGCCCTTTAGCTATCACTCCCAATCTTCTCATCTTCCTCCTCCAATCCCAGCCCTAGAAAACCACTAATCTACTTTCTGTCTCTATAGTTTTCCCTAATCCGGTCTTTCCTATGAATGGAATAATTAAATATATGGTCTTTGGTATTGACTTCAGTCACTTAGCATAATTTTTTCAAGATATATCCATGTTGGACCGTGTATCAATATTTATTATGGCCAAATAATATTCCATTGGATGGAAATAGCATGTGTTTACCTATTCATCTGTTCATAGACATTTGGATTGTTTCCACCTTTTGGCTACTAGAGATAACATTACTATAAAATTCATGTACGTGTTTTATTCCAATATGTGTTCTCATTTTTCTTGGGCATATACCTAGAAGAGGAATTGATGGATCATATGGTAATTCTATGTTTAATTTTTGAGGAACTCCCAGACTGTCTTCCAGAGTGGCTGCACCATTTTATATTCATACCACCTATGTATGAGGGTTCAGATTTCTCCATGTAGCCTCGACAAGATTTGATATTATCTTACTTTTTTATTCTAGCCATCCTAGTGGTTGTGAAGTGGTATCTCATTTGGGTTTTGATTTGCATTTCCTTGATGACTAATGATGTCCAGCATTTTTTCATATGCTCTTGGCCATTTGTATATCTCTCTTCGAAAAATGTGTATGCACGTCCGTTGCCATTTTTAAAATAAGTTATTCGACTTTTTATTATTAGGTTATAGGAGGTCTTTATATATATATTTTTTTTCTTTATATATTTTTAATACAAGTACACAAAACGCCACCAGGTGTGGATACCAGCTGGACAATCAAAACTCTCTAAAATGGGACCAATGGCACAAATGCTTTACAGCTGCCAGCTCTGCCCAAATGGTCACCAATATCCTGACCTCTGGGCACTGGCCATTACACTGTCCTAATTTCAACCCTAATGGCTGATAGACTTATGCAGTTCAACCCATATAAACCATCTCTGTAATAGAGGGCCAAACATTAAATTGTTGGGAGCATATAACTAAATTTTCCTTAAACCAGGGCTACACATGTGCCTCCAACATTTACTATTTATGGATGGAAACCTCCTATGCCTCAGAGGAGAGCGCTACCCAGTCGTTTGCAAGGTGTACCACAAAGGACCCCTAAAATTTATTGAGCATTTATGATATCATTACATGCTCATGAGAGTGCAAGCAAACCTTAATCAGGGCATCTCAAATCTATATGACACTGTTAGGTCCCTTGGCACCTCAGTTCCCCTCCTGGGTGGCCACTTAGGATAGCTATCCCTCTCTGGGTTGGCTCCCTTTACCTGCAACAATCCTGGAGATGACAATCCCCAGCACATGACATGGTGGGACACAACTTCATCCTGAATGCTGCGTAAGCAACTTTCCACTACAGCAGAGATGACACCAAGGAAGACATGGCGGCTGATGATGGCGAGCACTCCCGGGGTCATGGGTTCTGAACTGAACATTGTTTATATAAATTCCCTGCCAACCATCCCCTCTAGTGGCATTTTGCAGAATTAACAATGTGTTTACCCAAGGCCCTCCTGCTCACTACAATGCTTGCTGCTCCAGGGTGAGGCAGTACTCTGCCTGCCAGGCTGCCCTCCTCTGCACCTTTGAGCTTTAGGAGGCCAAGATATGTGTCAACTCTCACAACCTTACAGGGGCCCCTTGAAACACTTCACTCAGTTGCTTGCCTTTAGCACACCCTTTAGATTGGTCCACATTATGTGTCCTACTGGGAGTTAGTGAATTTACCTTCTGTTGGGAGAACTCCCCGGTTTCGGATGCTACCACCACCACAGCATCCCCCCTAAACTTTCCAGGAACACAGGGTCCTGGAAGTTGCAGGGTCACCTTCCTGCCACACCCTGAGGGGACCCTGCACCATGGGCATAACTCAGGGCTCCACAGTCCTCCCACACAAGCCCTCCAATAGTCTTCATATTTTTATACAATAAGTAGAAAATTGGAGCTCATTTTTTGGGCCATTGTCATTGCTAGGCATGTTACCAGGCTCAACAAAGGATTTTGCCAAAGTTAGTGGCCTACCATGCTGATTAATTGACTCTACTCCATTTGCCCAGTGGAAGGCACCCCACACGTCCTTATGGCTTGCCTGGTTGCCCTCTATGGTGCTCAACTGCAGCCAGGCAGGTCACTTTGCAATTCACTATGCGGCACTTGGCAGGAGCCCCTACGTGCCCTTTATAATCCTCCATATCTGCCCAGGACCAACAGCACATGAATATGACCTACACCTCCTCCCAAGGAGCACAATCCCCATGGTCTTGGGCCTCGAGGCCCAGCCATCTGGGGAGAATCCCAACTTACTTCATCTTCCCCAGTCAAGCAGTTGGTGTCCACTGTGGGTCCAGTGCCGTGGGACCGTCACACATACGTGGTTCTTCATATGTGCACCTCTCCTTCCCTCCACCTCCAATGCGTTTGCCTCCTTGATGACCCCAGGGAATCCTGTCTGTTCATACCAATTTACTTTAGTCTCCCTGGGACTGCCCTGACAAATGACTGGACAGGACCTCCATTTCATGTTCCTTTTTGCCCTCTCACATCAAAAGCATGTGGTATTCATCTTCAGTATTTTGGGAGTAGGTCTGCTACTATCCCTCACCCAGATGGGGCTAGGTGCAGCTGCACTGGGCTCACAACAGCACATTATTAAGGCGAACACTACTCTGTCAGCCACCTGGCAGATCACATTGGGCTATTACACCAAAGCTGGAATTAATGCAACAGCAATAGGATTCTTTAGTGCAGCTGGTTTTGCATAACCGTTTAGCTGTAGATTACATATTGGCCAAGGAAGGAGGTGTATGTGCTGTAAAGGGCACCACCTGCTGCATGTATATTAATAATTCTGGACAAATTCAGACAAATTTACAAAAGATTGGCCCAACAGGTACAAGGGTTCTTAATCTCATCAAACTTTTTCGTCAAACACTTACCTTAACTTTATGTGCAAATACACTGAACCATTGACATCTGCGCTTTAATGGGGTGCAGTGTGTAATGTGTTGTGTTGAGAGCTGGAGATGCTGTATTAAATTCAATGTAGGCAGATTATGACCTGCTGAATAGGGAGGTACGAGCCACCCACACGGGGTCAGTAGGTTGTTCCCTCAGCATCCAAGTTCCCACTTTGGGGAAGTGAAAACCACGATGTCTTTTGATTGAAGACCCAACACAATACACCCACACGAAGGAAGTAAAGTCACAAGATTTGTTACTTACAGATTGTAGAAATGGAGATGGGGGCACAATGAGCTGGGGAAGGGCAGTCCTCTGTCCCAGATCACAAGCCAGCAGGAGACGGAGAGCAGAGTAGCAAGCACCCTTTACTTATAAGGTGGTTGGGGCAGAGGTCACTAACTTTTCACTGGCTCAAATCTTAGTGGTTATTTTATTATTATTATTATTTTTAATTTTATTTATTTATTTTTCCCCCCAAAGCCCCAGTATATAGTTGTATGTCATAGATGCACATCCTTCTAGTTGCTGTACGTGGGACACGGCCTCAGCATGGCCAGAGAAGTGGTGCGTCAGTGCGCGCCCGGGATCCGAACCCAGGCCGCCAGCAGCGGAGCGCGCGCACTTAACCACTAAGCCACGGGCCGGCCCTTAGTGGTTATTTTAAAAGGTGCCCGGGGAAAAGCAAAGGGGGACTTA